TGCTAATACCTCTCCCCATACAACCAAGCATTCTGCGAGCATTTCCTGCTGCTCTATTACATTGAGTTAGGACTCAATCAAATATTCTGTTCTGCCCTTGGGTTTTTACATCCAAGATGCATTATCTTGCACTTATCCACATTAAATGTCAGCTGCCACAACTCTGAGCATTTTTCTAGTTCACCTAAATCATTTGGCTTATCCTTCATGGAACATCAACCCTGTTACATATCTTAGTATAATCAGCAAAAAGGCATACCTTGCCATCAAGACCTTCTGCAATATCACTAATAAAAATATTAAAGAAAATGGGTCCAAGTACAGATCCCTGAGGTATCCCACTGGTGACAAGTCCAAGCTTCGAATATATTCCATTGACTACAACCCTCTGTTGCCTGTCACTCAGCCACTGCCTAACCCATTCAACAATATTGGAATCCAAACTTAAATATTGCAGTTTATTGATAAGCCTTCTATGTGCAACAGTGTCAAAAGCCTTACTGAAACCTAGGTAAGCAATGTCTACTGCACCAGCCTGATCTATTATTTTAGTTACCCAATCAAAAAAAAAAATCAATAAGATTAGTTTGGCATGATTTTCCTGAAGTAAACCCATGTTGTTTTTGATCTTGAAATCCATGTGATTTTTAGATGTACAACAATCCTATCCTTTAACATGGTTTCCATTTCTTTCCCCACTACTGAAGTAAGGCTTACTGGCCTACTAACTTTCTTGTGAATAGGCACAACATCCGCTAACTTCCAATCTTCTGGGACTACGCCTGTTAACAATGATTGGTTAAGTAAATCCGTTAATGGTTTTGCTAGTACACCACTAAGCTCTTTTAATAACTTTGGGTGTATTCCATCAGGCCCCAGTGACTTATTTGTCTTGTCTTTGACTGTTAGAAACCTAGAATGTGACGGCAGATAAGAACCATTCGGCCCAAATAGTCTGCCCAATTTTCTAAATACTTGCATTAGTCCCTGGCCTTATCTTACAGTTAGGATAGCCTTATGTCTATCACAGGCATGCTTAAACTCCTTTACTGTGTTAACCTCTACCACTTCAGCTGGAAGGCTATTCCATGCATCCACTACCCTCTCAGTAAAGTAATACTTCCTGATATTATTTTTAAACCTTTGCCCCTCTAATTTAAGACTATGTCCTCTTGTTGTGGTAGTTTTTCTTCTTTTAAATATAGTCCTTTACTGTGTTGATTCCCTTTGTGTATTTAAATGTTTCTATCATATCCCCCTGTCTCGTCTTTCCTGCAAGCTATACATGTTAAGTTCCTTTAACCTTTCCTTGTAAGTTTTATCCTGAAATCCATGAACTATTTTAGTAGCCCTTCTCTGAACTCTCTCTAAAGTATCAATATCCTTCTGGAGATACGGTCTCCAGTACTGCGCACAATACTCCAAGTGAGGTTTTACCAGTGTTCTGTACAATGGCATGAGCACTTCCCTCTTTCTACTGCTAATATCTCTCCCAGTTGAAATAGAACCTCTTCATCTGCAAACTCTCATGTAACAAATTACTAACTTGTCATTTTTCCTAACGGAGGTCACTTTCCTTCATTATCATTTGTAAATACTGAACAATAATATTCATGTACGCAGGCAGCTAGACCTTTATCCTTCCTTCTTTTTTTTTTTTTAAATCTTACTGTTACGGTACCTCCAGTAATGAAATGTACAAACCGCCGTTTAGCGAGTATCCCCCGTTCACAATAATGTGGTCGGGTAGCGGGTATAGTAGAACCATGCGAACCGCCAACCAGGGAACACTCCAAACTCCTGAACGGTACCTGTACGGCTAATTCCCTTCACGAGCTGTAAATCCACGAACGTCAAATAGTAACCGAACGTCAATATCTCCCTCCCCTCTGCTCGGGGAATAATTGGGAAGTAACTCAATTATCTCCCCGGGCAGAGGCAATCGCCATTTTAAACACAAGTCACAAAACACATGAAAATCCATAACTTCATAACTGCCGAACATATTACATTCGCATCACCTATCCCCAGATAGCCTGGATCTGAGTGCACATTATTGGAGAATAGCGCTCAGATCCCATTCGCATAGTTCGATCGCCATGGAGTCAAAGTCTCTTTCGGTTCTTCTGTATGCGATTGACTCCATGGGACGGCTATCTGGGTTAAGTCCATTCGTGTGGTTGAATCTCCCGAACAGCTGGCATTCGTATACTTTTGTCGATTGAGAAGGGGAGGTCGACGGCTTCAGCGGTGTTCGGCTGAAAAAGTGTCCGTTTTCAGATCCATGAAATAATCGTCGAACACCGCTGGTCTTTCGCATGGACAAAATGGCCGCCGCCTCGTGGTCGACATACGAACGACGACCACCCGGCATTCGGTTTTAATTGAGAAGTGTCTGTGGTTAACCGCAACGTTCTAATTGGGATCAATAGGTTAACCAGCAGCACACTTCTCTTCTGGGTGTCCGTCCGTTCGGTAGTTTCGTTCGACAAAACCGACATTCCCTTGAATAAAGCATACGAATGGGGAAATTCATGTAACCGGCAAAACAGGCGAACAAAGCAGTTATAATCCAGACAGATGGGTCTGTCACACTTACTAATCCTTGTTTTACTTTCCTTTTCTCATTTATGTATCTAAAAAATTATTTGTCCCCTTTTTTTTACTGACTATGCTATTTTCTCTTCTGTGTGTGATTTGGAAGCTCTTATAACTTGCTTAGCCTCTCTCTGCCTAATCCTATAGATCATTCTGTCTTCATTACTCTGGGCTTTTATCTACTTACTAAATGCTAACTTTTTGGTTTTTTTACTATTTTGGCCACATCTGCAGAGTAGCACAGTGGTTTTGCTTTTACTGACAAGCCTAATGCAATTTTATTTTGCTTTCAGCAGTGCAATTTTTAAATAATCCCATTTCTCTTGGACTCCGTTTAAACTGCTCCGGTCTGATAATGACTCCTTTACACATACTCTAATTTTAGAAAAGTCTGTTTTTCTAAAGACTAAAACTTTTTGTTTTTGTGTGGTGTGACTCAGTCACTGTTCTTGTATTAAACCACACTGACTGATGATCACTGGATCCTAAACTTTCACCTTCAGTAATATCTGATGCCAAATCTCCATTTGTTAGCATTAAATCTAGCATGTCCTCCTTACGAGTTGAAACCTCAACAACTTGTTTTAGAGACCATCCCAGTGGGTAGTTTAGAATAGGTGTGCTCCTGGCAAAAGCAGCTATTTTGGTTTTCCAGTTCACATCAGGAAGATCAACCCCTTAGTCACCAGGCCACTTTTAAATTTTTTTACCGTTAAAGGACCACTATAGTGCCAGGAAAACATACTTGTTTTCCTGGCACTACAGTGCCCTGAGGGTGCCCCCACCCTCAGGGACCCCCTCCCACCGGGCTCTGGGGAGAGGAAGGGGTTAAGCACTTACCTTTCTCCAGCACCGGGCGGGGAGCTTTCCTCCGCCTCTCCTTCTTCCTAGCGACCTCATTGGCTGAATGCGCATACGTGGCAGGAGCCGCGCGGGCATTCAGCCAGTTCATAGGAAAGCATTTCCAATGCTTTCCTATGGACGCTGGCGTCTTCTCTCTGTGATTTTCACAGTGAGAAGCAAGCAAGTGCCTCTAGCGGCTGTCAATAAGACACCCACTAGAGGCTCTAGAGGCTGGATTAACCCTTCGTGTCAAACATAGCAGTTTCTCTGAAACTGCTATGTTTACAGCAAAAAGGGTTAACCCTAGCTGGACCAGGCACCCAGACCACTTCATTAAGCTGAAGTGGTCTGGGTGCCTATAGTGGTCCTTTAAGGGCCAGGACTGTTTTTACATTTCTGCGGTGTTTGTGTTTAGCTGTAATATTCCTCTTACTCATTTACTGTACCCACACATATTATAAAAAGTTTTTCTCGCCATTAAATGGTCTTTCTAAAGATACCATTATTTTCATCATATCATAATTTCCTATAAAAAAATATAAAATTTGATGATTTTTTTTTTCAAAAAACACTTTTTTGAACTTTGCCCCACAAAATTTGTTACGCATCTTCAACTGCCAAAAAACACCCATGCTAAATAGTTTCTAAAATTTGGCCTGAGTTTACCCATTTATTTTCAAAATGAACGCAAGTTACATAGTAACACTGATATCTGTCAGGAATCCCTGAATAACCCTTTACATGTATAAAAGAAGACAACCTAAGGTATTAAACTTGGTGTATTTTTTACTCTTTTTATGCAGCCATTTTACCACCACTCTATGCCAAACTAAACAAAAAAAATAACTGGTGATATTTTTGACACACATAGCAATCTAAGAATACATGTACTGAGAACTTTAAGGGTTACTGCCAAAGAATCCCCCAATATGTGTTCAGCAACATCTCCTGAGTACAGTGATATCACCCATGTAGAGGGGTGTCGAGTTCTCTGGGGGCTAAAAGCCCATATTTGGAGGGTGCGCATTCCAGTTTTCCAACTTGGAATTTTCACAGCTGGTCATCGTGCACCCATGTCCTATTTGGGAAATTTTTTAAGCCGGACAATGTAATTTACCCCCATCAAAGCTTATATTTTTGAAAAGTAGTCAACCCAGGGTATTCAATATGGGGTATGATCAGTCTTTTTTAGTAGCCACTTAGTCACAAACACTGGCCAAATTTAGCATTTATATTTCTTTGTGTGTTAAAAATGTAAAAAAAAATCATAGAGTTTGTGACTAAGTAGCTACTAAAAAAGACTGGACATACCCCACTGGCAATACCTTGGGTTGTCTTCAAAATTCTTTCTAAGGGACTTACATTCGTCCCCACAACATATCCGGACAACTTTAACGTGGAGATTGAGTTGCATAAGACGAACATAACTTTGAACCTCAACATTAACAGGGACCTGTGGGAAAAAAAAGGATATACACCCTTTCAAGTTAAGAAACAAATGGACACCTAAAACCACACATTCGTCTGTCAAAACCTTTGTTCAACTTATCCAATCAGACATGGAGCAGATTCTTAAACAACATATCCTGAAAGGAGATAACTTAACCCGAAGTGAAAGGACATCACTGCAAGATTTAAAGGAAGACAACAGTATTACCATCAGACCTGCTGACAAAGGAGGAGCAATCGTGATTCAAGATTACACTGATTACAGAACAGAAATTTTGGGCCAACTTTCTGACACTAAGACATACCAGCCAATTACCTATGACCCAATTTCCACAATTTTGGAAAAATTAAGAGCTTTGGTAAAACGGGGAGCAGAAGCAGGATGGACAGATGAATACACAGCAACTTTTTTGATCAATGAGAATCCTAAGATACCCATCCTGTACATGTTGCCAAAGGTCCACAAGGATCCGGCCAATCCACCCGACAGGCCGATTGTCTTAGCCTGAGGGGGGATACTAGAACCACTGGCCAAATTTGTAGAATTTCATTGCAAATCCAGAATCGATAATATACCTAAAGGTCTCAAGGACACTCATGATTTCTTGTCCAAAATCAAGAGGTTGCATCTACCTACTAATGCAGGGATCTTTGCCACGGTGGATGTTAAGAATTTATTCACTGTCATACCCCATGACGAAGGCATAGAGGTGATGAGTATCTGGCTATCTGAAAGATCTAAAATAATTGAAAAACATGGAGCCAAGCTACTAACCTACCACAGATTTGTGGATGACATCTTTTTGATATGGCTAGGACCACAAGAGCAATTGGTAAACATGATTGAGGATCTGAACCAGGAAGATTCATCTATTAAGTTGAGTCTCAATCAAAATTTAGACAAAATCCAATTTTTGTACGTGAAGGTATACAGATCAGCAGAAAGTATTGGATACACCTTATATAAAAAACAAGCAGACCGTAATACATTATTGCATGCCAACAGTTTCCATCCTCATCATTAAAGAACTCGCTTCCTATCTCTCAATTTCTTCGGGTGTTAAGGTATAATTCTGACAGAGAACCAACACGTTCAAATAGAAGAGATGAGGGCATCTTTCATAGAAAGGGGATATTGCAAACAGATCCTTCAGAAAGCTCTTACCAAAGCTCAGGAAATTTTTAACAAAGAAAATAAAAAGACTGATGATTGATGAAAATCACCATACCAATGATATTTAATTCTGCCAGCAGTAACATTTCTGCGAATATCAGAAAACGTTGGGATATATTATCAGCTGATCAGACCCTGAGCAACATATTTAGAAAACCACCCAGGATAGCATACATTGCATTTCCCATTATATCACGTCAATCGGATCATGTTGTTTACCTAATTTCATGTACATGTGGCTTATTTTATGTTGGAAAACGGACTTAACATTAAGGGACAGAATTAGTGTCACGATTCCGGGAACCCAACACGCTAACACACACACACAGAAAAGGTGCAGTACCGGACCTTAGAGTGGCCGGGCTAAGCACACACAGAATAGTAAGGGGAACCAGAAGACAGAATAACGTGAAACAAGCCGAGGTCAAAGGGTAGGAGAAAGTCACAGAGTCAGATAAACAAGCCAGAGAGTACGTAACCAGAAACACAAAGTCAGTAGTAATACTAGCAAGTAAAGACCACAACAGGGCAGGGAGGAACAGGAAAGGTAAGTATTTAAACCATACACGTGGGAGATATCTAAACCTCCCACTGTGATTGAGGCACTATGCCTTTAACGCCGGGTCACTGACCCCGGCGTGTAATATATTGGGCGGTCTCCCAGCGTGCAGCGTCATGCATGCTGCCGCTGGGGTACGAGGAGGAAAACGCGGGCGGCATCCGAGGCTGGAAGGATGCCGCTCGCCGAGCCCACGAGGCGGAGGAGAGCGCGGACGGCTGGAGGGTGAGTACCGCGAGCAGGGTGCAGCCTCCCCTCGCAGCCGCCCGCGGGATCCCGACATTACCCCCCTCGGAGGGCCAGAAGCAGAAGGCTTCAAAGGAAACCGGGCATGAAAGGAGCGGACCAAAGAGGGAGCGTGCAAATCAGAGCTCGAAACCCAGGACCGCTCCTCAGGGCCGTACCCCTTCCAATTCACCAAATATTGTAGCCGACTCCTAGAAACACGAGAGTCGAGAAGGGCAGCCACCTCGAACATGTCACTAGGGACAGCGCGAGGGGAAACGGGCCGCCCGAGGGGACGAGAGAACCGGTTACACAGCAAGGGCTTCAAAAGCGAGACGTGAAACGTGTTCGGTATTCGCATGGAAGGAGGCACGTCAAGGGACTAGGAAACGGGGTTAACCCTACGTAACACCTTGTAGGGACCAAGAAATCTGGGAGCAAATTTCGAGGGACCCTTGAGACGGAGGTTCCTGGAGGAAAACCATACCCTATCACCCGGAACATAAGAAGGGGCCGCAACCCTAAGGCGATCAGCAAACTTTTTCTGAGCAGCTGCTGAACGAGACAGCGCAACATGGACCTGATCCCACGTCTTCCGCAAAGAGGCGAGGTGCTGGTCCAAGGCGGGCATTCCCTTGTCGGAGAATGCACCGGGAAGGACAGAAGGCCGAAACCCATAAGCAACCTCAAAAGGACTTAAGCCAGTAGACGAATGAGACACCGTATTCCTGGCAAATTCAGCCCACGGAAGGAGGCGAGACCAGTCATCCTGGTGCGCATTAGTGAAGCAGCGCAAATACAATTCCACAGACTGATTAGCACGTTCGGCCGCACCATTAGATTGCGGGTGATAGGAGGAAGTGAACGACAAGGAGACCCCCATCTCAGCACAAAAGCAACTCCAAAACCAAGAGACAAATTGAGGGCCCCTGTCAGAAACGATATCCTGAGGTACCCCATGCAAGCGGAACACTTCTTTGGCAAACACCTGAGCTAACTGAACCGCAGAAGGCAGTTTCTTAAGCGGAATAAAGTGCGCCATTTTAGAGAACCTATCTGTCACAGTCAGTATCACCGTCTGACCATCAGAAAGAGGAAGGTCTACAATGAAATCCATGGATAAGTGGGTCCATGGTTTCTTTGGTATAGATAGAGGCATCAGTAGACCCTGGGGTCTCACATTAGGGGACTTACACTGCGTGCAGACCCGACAAGCCTGAACAAAATCCACTACGTCTCGCTTGAGTGAAGGCCACCAGAACTGTTGAAGGAGGTCCTTGTAGGTTTTGGTAACCCCCGGATGACCAGCAGTTTTGGCGGTGTGAAATAAAGATAACAACTTTTTTCTGTCATTTGCTTTAACGTATAGTTTACCAACCGGCGTCTCAGGGGGTGCTTGGGTTTGGTATGTCTTAATACTATCAAGGAAAGGAGACGAAACAACCAAACGGGTAGCAGCTATTATCTGAGACGCAGGTACAATAGGTTCAGGAGTCGGGTTAACAAATTCTACTGGTTCATGCTGTCGAGAGATAGCGTCAGCTTTGGCATTACGGCAACCAGGTCTATAGGTAATAACATATTGGAAGCGTGAGAGAAATAGAGACCGTCTAGCCTGCTGTGCAGATAACCTTCTAGCCTCAGCTATATAGGAGAGGTTCTTATGATCTGTTATAACCATAATTTTGTTTCTAGAACCCTCTAATAAGTACCTCCATTCCTTAAAAGCTAACACAATAGCTAATAGTTCCCTGTTCCCAACATCGTAATTCTTTTCTGGATCAGACAACCTTTTAGAAAAATAACAACAGGGATGGAGGGGTTTGTCATACGACAACCTCTGTGACAGTACTGCTCCCACACCCGACTCTGAAGCGTCTACTTCCATAACAAATGGAAGAGAAGGATCAGGGTGGTGCAGCACTGGAGCAGAGGCAAATGCCTTCTTGAGGGTTTCGAAGGCCTTAAGGGCTTCAGGAGTCCAAACCCTAGGGTGTAGACCTTTTTTTGTCAGCTTCGTTATAGGAGAGATAAGTGGTGAAAAGTTTTTTATAAATTTCCTATAATAGTTGGCAAATCCTATAAAACGCTGGATAGCCTTCAGTCCTTGGGGAAGTGGCCAGTACAGTATGGCTTCCAATTTAGCAGGATCCATACTGAAACCCTGTTCAGTAATGATATATCCTAGGAATTGCACAGAGGTCTGATCGAATAAACATTTTTCTAACTTACAGTAGAGTCTGTTCTGTAATAGCCTTTTGAGCACCATCCTAACATGGTTATGGTGTGACTTCAAATCAGGAGAATACACAAGTATGTCGTCAAGGTACACCACGGCACAGACATGCAATAGATCCCTAAGGACATCATTTATGAGGTCCTAAAACGCGGCAGGAGCATTACACAGTCCAAAAGGCATGACCAGATATTCGTAATGCCCACTGCGTGTGTTGAACGCGGTCTTCCCGAGGTCATTCTCCTTCCCGAGGTCAGCCCCCCTGAGGTCTAATTTGGTGAAGAATTTAGAACCTTTAACACAATCAAACAACTCAGTGATGAGGGGGATAGGGTAGGCATTTTTAATCGTTATATTGTTCAGACCCCTGTAGTCTATTCATGGCCTCAAATCGCCCTCCTTCTTTGCCACAAAGAAGAAACCAGCACCAGCAGGAGAGTAGGACCTTCTAATAAAACCTTTACTTAGGGATTCCCGTATGTACTCTTCCATGATCTGGTTTTCTTTCTCAGAAAGAGGGTAGACCTTCCCCTAGGAGGCATAGTACCCGGTAACAGGTTTATGGCACAGTCATACTCACGATGTGGAGGTAGCTTATCTGCCTCCCTTTTTTCAAAAACCAAGGCAAGGTCTGCATATACAGAAGGGACAAAAACCGAGAGTGGTTTGGCCGTGGGCATGTTGAGTAAACAAACAGGACGTACATGAGCCATACAGTCTTGTTGACAAGATTCCCCCCAGGAGAGTATATCTAAACAACCCCAATCAAGTACAGGGTTGTGTTTAACTAACCAGGGAAAACCCAGAACGATGGAGGCTGTAGGGGAGTCAATTATTTGGAAGGTTAACTTTTCCTTGTGCAAAACACCCACAGACATAACTATTTCCTGTGTTTCATGGGTCACCAGAGGTTTCTCCAGTGGTCTACCATCTATGGCCTCAACGGCCAAGGGTGTGTCCTTTCGGATCAAAGTCAGGGCTGCGGTTTTGGCAAAGTTCTCATCCATAAGGTTGTCTGCCGCACCTGAATCGATCAAGGCTTTGGTTATTATAGTGGTTTTATTGACCAAAAGAGAAACCGTAATAAACGGTCTGGAGATGGACGCATGAGGGGACAAAGTCATAACACCCGAGGCCGACCCCTCTCTAGGCCTTAGGTGCTGCAGTTTCCCTGTACTTTAGGGCAGGCATTACAGTGGTGCCCCCTCTTCCCACAATAAAGGCATAACCCCTCCCTTCTACGGTACGCTCTTTCGGCCTCAGTTAACCCCGTAGCACCCAACTGCATGGGTTCAGGGGATGGTTGCCTAGGACC